CCCTTTCCCTTCCTTTCCTGCCTGTTTGTCCTTGGTGCTTTCATTACTGAGTGCATTGTTTAATAATCAAATAGTTTTAAATTCATATTTATTCTTAGGATTTCTTAGAAAAATACCTTGTGCAGACAATTTTTAATTTAGCTTCAACTTATGCTCAGTCAACTTATTTTAAATTAAAGATTGCAAAAACTTGCATTTCTTTATTCTAAAGGCATCATGAAATCTCACTGCCACATTTAAAAGGCTCATATAAAGAGCCTGCCAAAATATTAGCACATTAGAAATAATATATATGACTTTGGGAGAATGTTATAGACTACTGAGCCAAACGCACCCGAATTCTACAAAGGCCGGTTGTTTGAAGAGAAAGACAACTTGGACCATCCTGAGGAGATAAATTACCGACTGCCCTCATAATCACAATCAAGTAAGGCTTGACTTAGTTTTTTTTGACCAACGAGGAAAAACTAGTTGGTAGTATGGAAGGGAGAAAACACCTTGGTCATCTTCAACTTGGTCTTGGCACAAGAGGTGAGTTTCAAGCAATTTGTTACTAACAGTAAAAGAAGTAAAATTGTAAATCATCTACTTCTAAAAATACATACATTTGAGTGGAGTCAAGGTAATCCCGATATCACCGCTGTTATGCTCTTAGAAGAAGCGGCATGAAATTCTACATAATCAGCAGTTTGTTTATCAATGTCACCATATCACTGTGAAGAGCAATCGTTACTGACATGTAGCCAATATAGGTGACAAGATATTCTTGAGGTTTGTAAAACTTGGGGTACATGTGAGAGTGTGTCACATGGGAGACCATCATCAGTGAAGTGCTGTGATGTAAAAAATTGCTGAGAACCCCAAGCTAATAGTTTAGGATGGCCAGAGGAGCGAACCCCGGGCTTTAGAGTCAGACAAGTGCCTTCGACTTTGGGAAACTTTTATAAAAACTTCAAAGAAAAAAATTCTTGACCCATGGACTTGAGTTTCAAAAAGGGATCATGGCTAACAAAGGGAGGTTAAAAAACAACATCAACAAAACTTCTAGTTGAATAATTGAGAAATAATTCAAATAAAATGGGAGACAGCTCAGGAAAGCTGAATGGCTGTCTAGTAATCTAAAATTTCAAATGTGTGTACAGAAGATAGAAAGAAGGGAGCGTGACCAAGGACGAATGTAGAAACCTAGCAAATGTATTGTAAAAGTGTCCTAAATTAAGTCTCCCAATAAAGTGAGGATTAAAAAAAAGGTAAAGCTGATGAAGGAACTGTAAGGCATTTTTTTTTTTAGTCAAAAAGAAGAGGAAATAATAAGTGTACTGCTTAGAGATGATAACAGAAAGCATATTAGAGAAGTAGCAGAATCATTCAACTCCTGTTTTTCCCCTTCTCTTTTCTAAAAGTGTTTTTAAAGTGAATATAGAGGAAAAAAACTATAAAAAGTGGAAATTTTCAGCCCCAAATAAATGAGAGATTAGTAAACTAACACCAAGAGGTTTAAGATGAGACCAAATGGATTAGGCACTGGCATGGTAACAGAGAAGAGCTATTGTTTGGTAGTCCTTGAAAAGTCATGGCAGATGGGAGGGAAACCACAAGACCAGAGTTGGGTAACTTTTATCTTTAGTTTTGAAGAGGATTCCAGAAATTACAGACACCTTGATTCAGGTTTTCAGGTTGGACAATACATTGTTAAGAGGCTGGTTTTTGAACATGCAGGAGTGAATGTTATGGTCATTAGCCGCCAACAANTGTTATGGTCATTAGCTGCCAACAAATGACAACTAAGGAGAAGGTTTGATAAACTAATCTGCCTTATTTTTTTTATGAGTTTACTAGGCAGATAGATTAAAGGATTGCTTGAAACTCAAACAGCAGCTAGCAATTGTTATTTGTCTTGACCTGATGGAATAATATAGATTGCCTCCTCTCAATAACGTCTTGTAATGGCTTTAAATAATGAGAAAGTGTCTAGTAGGATGCCGTTACCCTGTTCTTTTTATCAATTTTGTAAATGACTGGGTGAACATATACTTCTCAACTCTGAGGGTGACATAAAAATGGACAGGGCATCTCATATCTGCTTCTCACACTTTCCCCCAGAGTATTCCTAATGGAAGGGGAAAGTAAATGTGTACATCTGGAGAAACCAGGGCAATTGTCCTAAGTGGCTGCCAGAAGAGAGACATATCTCTGAATTACTTTCTCTTAATTAAAAACCATATGAATTCATTCAACACCATAATTTTTTAAAATATAAAATAAACCTCTCTCTAATCAATCTCATTTCTTTATGTAAAATTGACATTTCTGTACCTTTGACTATCTTGGCAAACATTCTCTCAAGGGTGTTCTATTTATCTTCACCCAAATCAATTATAAAAACCTCAAGTAGAATAAAGGACAGAGACCTGTGGCTCTCGACCAGAGGCTGTTTCATGCTACATAAAACCAACAATAGACACATTTATATGATAGGTGAAGAAACCAAATTTGGAAAATTATCTTAATAAGATAGCATATTAACAGAATTGAATCTAACAGGGATAACTATAAATTTTGGTTTTGGATTAGCACAAATATGGATGTTCAAGTGAAAAAAAATCTGTGACTTTACAATCACTTTATGAACTAACAAAGTTAGGTAATTGCTAAAAATGCTAGCATTAAGTTACTTTAACATTAATAAATCATTTCTATAAGGACAGGTTTAATTTTGGATGCCAAATTTAAATAAGGACCTTGATTAACTGTGGAGTATCCATATGAAGCAACTAAGATCAGCTAGCTTCTAGAAACTTGATCATGCAAGAAAGGGTTAAGAAGCTCAAGCACAGGCTCTGGAGGAGCCAGACTAGCTCTGTGCAGTGATTGCATGGCACTAGCTGTTGCCCTCAAACACCGTGCTTAGGAACATCTGCTTTGGTTGTTAAAGACTTCTGGGTTCTACAGGTAGAAATTTGGATTCCACAGCCTGGGGCCTTTGAAACTGCGTTTTGACACTCAACCTGGGAGAATGATGCAGGTGAAGTAAAGACTTTGAGAAACACTGTTTTCTGTAATGTATGTAAAAGCAATATTGGTGTTACAAAGAAGCAGAATGGCTCCACATTTTAAAAAATTGACAACTTTTTTGGGTAACAACCAGAGTTAGAAAATAGTGGAGTAAGCCAAGTTGTAATACTATTACTCAGGATATGTAGACTAAAACTTCTCTTGGGTATCATCGGATTATAGAAGGAAGAAAGGAAAATTAATAAAAGTATATGAATTGATTTCAGTGGAAAGAAAATACTAATATTTGTATTGGTAAATAGCCTCTTTTTGTTTAATTTATAATAAAATTG